ATCTGCACATAACATACCATAATAATCGAAAGCCTCCAAATAAAATCAATTACGGCGGCCGTCAAGCCTCGCACACACCGCCACAATTCACATGTACAACTTAACACGCTGAAGGAATTGATCACTACCACCATCATGCCAATTCAACTATCGCTAACTGGTACACTCATTCTGATACTTCCTCTATGAGTCTGAAGTTATTTTCTTCCATTTTCTCCAATGTTACACCACAGACCAAAGATAACATAGAACATTGCAAGCCGCTTTTCTATAACCCCCTCCAACAAGCTTGATACTCAACCATACTATGGACTCGAAATCATTAGGCATCACACTTTACCCTTTGAATCCACTACGACCGTGGTTGAGAGTCTCCCACTCTGACTTGAACCAAAATATAATCGACTCCAAGGCTCTACTAGCACCTGAACACTCTCTCAAAGAAGCACCCGGCAGAATAACTTTTATTGCAGATCACCTCTACACGAAGCATAGATCCTGAGTCTTCCCAAAGCCTGGACATAAATTTATAAGGCCAATTATAGTACACATTCTTCAAACCCTTTGCTCAAATCACCACTGATGTTCTCTTTACTTAGTTGTAATAACCCATCAATACACCGATAACCAGGGACCTCACAAATAGATAACCATGCTATCCAATTGTAGGCAATGGGCCTCTCCCACTTAGCTCGAAGCCACCACTGCATAACTCTGAAACCCACCAAGGTTCATCCTTCCTCTCTGACGTAACCTCGCGCTATCGACCCGCCAAATTCCTCGAAACCTTCCAACGATGCTGCACCGAGCACAATTACTACAAAATCAGTAACCCATCCTGAGCACGTGCTCATTCACCAACTGTACAAGTCCATTCACTCCCCATTTGACAACTACTAAAAGGTGCGACAGTACCTTCAAATCCAAAGTCATGTTGTATCCTTCTTCATATCAAGCAACTCTTTATTGTTATATCAAATATCCCGCCGTATAATAGCCAATATTTCGAATTAATTCTATAAACCCAGTCACCGTCCACCATAAATCCCAAATCACTCTAAACTTTCCTCAAGGCGTGTAGTCATCCTACCACAGAACCCACGTGCTATTCTGCCTCAAATGCGAATTGAAGAAAACCATAACACCAACGAACTTAATGTATTCAACAGGGACAATGACACCACATCACAAAATGAAAATTCCACCATGCTCGAAAATACCATGTCTCGTTACTCCATCACACTAAAATTGAACATTTATAGCCCGATGCCTCTCCTCCGCTAGGAAATAAAATTTTGAATCTCTGTATCTTCCATTGAGTAAACATCCTTCCAAGTCATTCACTGCTTACACGCATAGACAAATACTCCATTACACCAATACCGTGCGATAACAACGCACGAATCGTCATAAAATTTAATGCCAAATCTCAAAACCTTAGGTAATACTGATACTGAGCTGAAATGACAGAACGTCCTTCCGCAAGGCGACGACAATAGCCCGATCAAATACGCAGGGAGGAACATCCCACACCAAATCTGTAGTACCATTACATTTTCTCAATTTCCGATTTATAATAAGCGTTTCACATCACATAAGATTGAGTAGGAAAGAAACAAAGGCATAAGCCTCAAAGGAATCAAACTACACGATGAGGAATCAAGAAGGGAAGTACTCCTAACAGCCCTGTGGCCTCAAGAAGATAAGTACAAACGTCTCCGTACTGATCCGCAAGACTTTACTAGACTTGCTCATGACTCGTGAGGCCTAAGTGAACCTAGTGCTCTGATACCATGTTGTCACGACCCAAATTTCATTAAAGGTCGTGCTGGCACCGGACACCACTGTCAGGCAAGACAACACTAATTAATCAATTTTGTTCTCGTTTTAGTATTTTTGAAATCATGATTTTTCTTCAATTTAATAGTAAAATATGGACTTTACAGAATAAATAATAATGTTTTTAACAATTTCAATACTAAATAACTCATAATCATCCCAAAACCCGGTGTCACAAGTGCATGAGCGTTTACTAAGGAATAAAATAAAATACAATAACTGTTCGGAATACAATTTGGACAGAAAAGGCCACTAAATATAGCTCGTCTAAGTCCCCGTCTCAACCACGCCGCGGCGTTCACGAGGCCACTAAATGTATATATGCCTGTACAACAAAATATATAGCAAGTGTAGTATAAGTACGAAAATAACGCGTACCCAGTAGTGACGAGGGGTCGACTTCGACACTTACTAGTGCTCCAACAATATTAATTACAGTAAAGAAGTGACTAAATATGAAGCCGAGTAAATATATGAAATAAACATGTATATAATACGTGGTATAATTCCCCTTTTTACAATTTTACTCAAACTCTCAACCAGCAAGTTTTCTCCGTAACCGAAGTTTATATATATAGAGAGATAGTGGATTTCACCAAAGAAGTTGTCATAATTCAAATCAGGGAAAAACCTCGGATACACTGGCTACTTGCCAAATATTACGCACGATTCCATGAGGATAATATATATAGGAAATGCTTAGGCGTACGGCGTGATCGAACATACAAATGTATTGTGCACTACCGAGGGTTGAACGACGCGAATCATAGATGCATCTATTAACCTGCCAAGGCGAACGGCCCGCTCCCATGAGAGTGTGGTACATAAATCCTGCAGAGGCGAACGGCCCGATCCCATAAAAGTAGTAGAAGAAAATACCCCGCTCGCGAATCTACGTGCGATGCGGTAAAATATAAATTTAAGGAATCACCCCCCTCGCGGAACATACTTGTGACACGGTCAAATATAAATTTAACACTAAAATTATATCTCTTTCTTGATTCTTTTTAAAATAAGAAAAATTCAGCTTGTAGCTTTTTAAGAAAATTACCCCCCTCGCAAAACATACATGCGATGCGATTACACATAGATTTCTTAAGCTGTTATAATATTCCTTCAATTCTTTACAAAAATACATGGTTCAAATGAAAACTTTTAAGATCTCAAATTCCTCAATTTTAACTCTTTTCAAGACATTTACTAAGCAAACTCAATCTCGCTTCTTCTCAAGTCAAACAATAAACGTAAATCAATAACAATATCAACAAGGCATGGTGTAAACCTAAAACTATCCGGACATAGGCATATAGTAGCTACTATGGACTCTCGTCGCCTCGTGCGTACGTAGCCCCCATAAATAGAGGCATATATTAATTTAGTTCACCTATGTGGTTAATTCTCCCTTACAAGGTTAGAAAAGAGACTTACCTTGCTTCGAAGTTCCATAGCCGGCTCCCAAGCCTCTCAAACAACTCGACCGATGCCCAACGCTCCAAAATTCGCTTTCACTTTATTAACATTCACAAGCTTTTAATCCTCCTCCGACATCGTAACATTGAGTAAAATCTCATACGCCACCAACAAATTGATATCCACAATTACAATCCCAATTACAATTAAAATATGACTCAAAACTATTTATCAATATCCATTTATGGCTCACAAGTTGGCTACAAGCCTCCAGCTCAAATCGTCTAATAGGTTTTCTTACTAGCACATTCAACTCCACTCTTATCATGTAATACCCATTTGAAGTCATAAATAATACTACATTAATTTTCAACACCGCCAAATTACTATTCATCGTCTTCCTTAACCAACATTTCCGAAACATTCAATTTGGTGATTACTTAGTTGAACACTTCCAACTAAGCTAGAAAATAATTCCGTAGGTTCATTGCATCCTTTAATATCATTTCTAAGAACACTATTTATCTTTCTCTCATTTTCTCAAGAACACTATTCATGCCATGAACTAGGGTTTATGAAATCAAATCCGACCATAACAACTTGAAACAAATAGTAGAATTACTCTCACCGACTCATAAGAAATGAGCTTGAAGAATTAGTATTACCTTCTTGAAGCTTTTCCTTAAAAAAACCAATGTTTGGAAAATTTGGTGTTCTTGAATAACTTGGAAGATTTCTAGGGATTTTAAAGATTGAATGATGTTAATACTAGTGTTAATAGGATGTTATTAACTTAAAATATCCAAAAAACTCACCTTGTATTCTTAAGTAGTCCCCAAGGTCGATTCACCATGAAAGAACCAATCCCTAGCTCAAGAAACCCCCAAAAATGGCTGCTGCCTGTGACTGCCTTATATAGGCACATGTGCTTCAGCGAGTTTTATCTTGCGCTGTACAGGTTGTACCTCGTCCAAAGTTAGGTTTTGTGTGTAATCATTTGGAACTTTAGTCTATCATGTAATTTCCAACTTGACTTAGACTTAGGGCTCTCCTTAGACCCCACATCACTTACAATATGACTCGTAGACTTATTATCATACGAACCTGCTGGAACCTTCAAATCCCGATTCCGAGGTCGTTTACTCAAAAATCCAACCTTAGTTAATTCTTACAACTAAAAGCTTCCGAAATGAGAATTTTCTTTCCAAATCAATTCCGAAATTTGGTAACAATTTAGCTTAAAGTTACAATTCTACCCTTAATGAGAAGCTTTTATAACCACACAAATACTCTGGGGCCCTTTTTGACTTGTTCAGGACCACAAATTCTAAAAGTCTTTATTTTTTCTTAAACTTCGTGCCCAGTCAAACAAGTTCACATAAATTGGAACGGAGGGAGTATTATTTTTATATTTTTCTAATGTTATATTCTCATTTGGTATACGCGTAGAGCGTTACATCAAATTGTACAAAAATCATACTCGAGGGCTCACTATTATTTTCAGATTGTTAAAATTTTGGAAGTGTAAGGTTGGTAATGTTAAGAATATTAGTTATTTCAAGCTATTATGCTATAAGAAATATTAATAAAACACTTTCCAAAAGTATTGTCATAAAATTTTATAGTTGCTCGTAGTGTCAATAGATCTATCTAGCAGATTGATATTGCATGTAATTGCAAATAAATATCAGATTATGAATACATGTCAAAGATATTACCCATCACTCAAGAAAAGGATTTTGCTCATTAAAGTGTAACAATTATCGACAGACCCCAAACATAAAATTCCGCTAGTTTAGGGTATATTAGCAAGCGCAGCATCGTCTCGACCTCTTGTTTGAAACTATGGCGACGTTGTCAAACTCTAGATCGGAAATGGAGTCCGCTTCGTCACTGGAGAAAAAATGGAAGAAGAAATTTAAGGTTAACAGTGACTTTAATGATGAGATGCGAGAAAAACAGCAGATTAAGTCTTATGGGATTGATGACTATGATTCCGATGATTGGGAAAATCGACCCTATAAGCATGTATTTCAAAAATACTTTCAACAATTCCACGACAGCGATGTATGCTTTCGTTTTGTTACTACTCTTTATACTGTTGTTTTTATTCTTGCAATTCTTAGGATGATTATTACAGTAATATATCAATAACTATTATTTTGATTTCATATTCCCCCTATGCTTTTCCTTTCAAATTCCTTTTCAAAATTATAAGATTAGCACCACCACACATAAATTTGGGTTTAATCATGTTATCTACCAAACTATCCACAATATCTGATATTTCAATGCTCAATTGTCTAATGATCTCGATAATCCTCTATTTTCTCACTCTTAAAGTTGCATGTGTTATTCTCGTATTTTCTAGTCTTTTTGATCTCTATTATTTTCCGTTGTATTGTTTGCTTCGATCGGTTCTATTATTTTTCTGGCTGATGCTACTGATTGTCAATACTATATTGTGATTATGTTTTTCTTGAGCCGAGAGTTTAGCGGAAATAACCTCTTTACTGGTAGGGTAAGATCTACATATATACGATCCTCTCCAGATCCCACTTGTAAGATTAAGTTGTGCATGTTGTTGTTTTAGAAGTTGTGCCTGTGATATCATACCCATAGGGGAAGTGCAACATTATCCTTTTTCCTATATTCAAAGAATTACTAACATTTCCATCTCTAAAGGCCAAGGCCATCAAATTTAATAGGAAGTATTTTCCTAACCTCCTAATATTCTGTATAAGGTTCCAGGGAAAAGCTCCTCCTTTTCTTCCCTACAATCCCTTTTAACTTTTGAGGTAAGGTTATATGTCCCCTCGTTGTAATTTCTCTTTCAAATAATTTACAAGGTAGGGGTCCGGGTCAAACCCCCGACCACCACTGGAGGTGAAAGCTTTGGTGGATGGATTTTATATATATATATATATATATATATATATATATATATATATATATATATATATATGCGCAATGTGATAGACTCATGTAAATTCATCCTATTGTAATACCATTTTTCAACTATATAAATTTGTGATTAAATTTTGCTTACTTTGGTCAAATCGGCTGGATTTCAAATACTGAATATGTGTAGAAATCTCATATGTGTACTCTTGTCTATCTTAATAGGGTTTTGATTTTGATCAACACCCTGGGTCATGCATGGAGGCTCCCATATGCCCCATTTCCACTCGCAGACTCGATCGTGATCCTGAACTCGTGGATGAACTCAAGGGTTATGCTTCAATGGCAATCAATGAGTACTTTCCCGACGATGTAATATCTATATATACCATGTATTTTTCCCATTGCCGGCTGAACTCAAAGGCGGATCCATGATTTAAATTCTATAGGCTTCAATGAGCCCATCACCACAATGTTGGATCCGCCCCTGGCTGGATTGCCCTTCCTCTATCTTGAATTGCATATTTTATTGATTGCAGGGAAAAGAACACAAGGTTTCAGAGATTGTGAAGGTGAATGCAGGTGGATGTCGTGACTGGAACTACTACATTACCTTTAAAGTTTACAATGATGGAAATGAAGAAATTTTTCAAGCTCAGGTTGTAATTTCACTTGAGGGCACAATCGAGATTCCAGTTTGCAGGCCCAAGGCCTAAATTATTTCTAAATTATCTGCAAAATAGTTGCTTTTTATGCCTTTGGTTTGTAATAATGGGGCTAAATCTAAATTCACTCGACAAGACTATATATGTTACAAACACCCTACAATCTTGTTTTTCTTGGAGGTTTAGTTTAAGATGCATTCCTAATGTTTTGCACCTTTCTATTTTGCTAGTAGTTTTAAATGATGTTTACTTGTTGAATTGTCGGTGCGACACTATTACATCAATCTTGACAAAGTGTTATATGAAAATGACTGTAATCTTATTATATGATAAATCGGTCAGAATTCTTCTTTGGATCTTTCCTTCTTGCTTCCTCCGAGACAAGCAATTAGAGTCTCTAGCCTGTATAAAGGATGAGTGTGTTTTAAGAGTCCCTAATCTATCTATATAACGCATGGGGCTCAATCAGTCTAGTATTGACAGATAAATTGAAGACGGTTTCTAGCACTTATTTGTACAACAATGACTAAGGGATATATTTTTAATTTATTTTCCATTGCTCTATGTATGATTCATAACAAATTTTACTCCAAGCTAGAAGATATTATAGATGTATTCCTTTAAGAAAAGGAGAAAATTGAAGAAAGAGGGCATAGTAAGTCAAATTTATAGGTGATCATGAGTTCTAGTAAACAAGAAATAAAATGTAAAATAGGAAGAAATAAAAACCTATTCTTGAGAACTTTTTTGTGTTAATGGTGTCTCACCAAAAAATATATATTTCGTTATTAATTTAACACTGAAATATCTTCTTTTCTATTGGAAATGTTTTGCAAAAGGGAGTTATATCTCTTCTAAAAAGGAAGTTTTATTCTTTTTTTTCTTGTTTCTTTTCTTTTTCCGACAAAAGTAATTAATCTATTGAAAGTCATTGAAGATTAGGTTTTATGTACCCCTCCGTAGGAGTCTAAGCCAAACACCATCACCTGGTTTTTATAAATAATAATTAAAAAAAGCTTCCTTTTACAAGAAATTTAAATTAAATACCAAGTCCACACGAGGACATTGGTGTAGAAACGACGACAGGTAATCACTCTAAAGGGCTGTCATTTAGGAATTAGTCAACACGTCCTGAATTTCAGTTTTTCGGTTTAACTTTTCAGGACTTTTAGTCCTGAGTTGCTATGAAGTTAAAAAATTTAGTTTAAATTTTCAGGACAAAAATAAGTACTGATGATTAATCTTTAAAGAGCATATGAGAATGACTATCGGTGCACTTGCCCTACAATTGGTCGATGAAATAAATTTGATTGCTTCAGTATTAAAAACTATAGCTAGGTGAGAATTTGACCAAAAGTAAATTGCCTCGTCTGCATGTTTGTTCATAGTTTACGCTCTTTGCATGAAACAAATAATTATTACTTTTTGAACAATTCTAGAGATAAGGTTTCCATTAATTAATAATAATAATAATAATAATAATATTAGCATTACATGTAATTACTTATTTATCCCATTATCAGAATATTTATTACTAAACCCAATATGATACTTTGAAAGTCAATTAAAAATGTTTAATTTCACGTTCGAAGTCGTTGGGATTTTGAAATTGTCTAACTCACCTTTTTTTAAATTTTTCAAAATGGGGGAAAAATACCATGGAGTACTTCTTGCAAGCCTTTTGGACGTTACTACATACGTTTGACCTCACAAATACACTAATGGAAGAAACACTTAGACATGTTGAAGCAAAAAACATTTTTTAACTAAAAGGTTGTATTTTGCATCTATATATTTCGCTTAAATATCAAAACTTTAATTTAATTTTTTGGTGTTTTGTGTCCATACAAACACATTCATATAAAACGAGAAGGATAAAGCTAATTTCTTATTCCTTTCTCATTGCATGGGTCCAAATTTAACTGACCACGACCTATAGCGAGTACGACAAACGACCGGGTACCTTCGAATCAGCGTCCCGAGAGAGACGACCTTAGGGCGAAAGAAGAGACTGTACGACCCTTGTAGTAGTGCAAGCCCATTGGGGGGAATTAAGAATATTCCGTCGAATATTCCTTGTATTTTTGTTTCTTACAATTTAGAAGAGTTTCTCTCTAGTATATAAGGAGGGCAAAAAACCTTGTAAGGGATCATCGACAGTCTGGGAAGCTTATCATTCTTGAATGAAAAGAAACTTAGCAACGATCTTCTCTTTATCTATTATTATTCATTCTTGAGATTATTATCTTCAGCTACGATTTACCCATTCATCTTTGATTGATTTGTTCAAAAAGGTTTTAACATCTTTTGAGTCAAACAATTTGACGCCGTCTGTGGTTTTCATCTAGATTCCTGAAAGTGATAACTATTTTTCTTCAAACTTCATAAGAACCAACAATGGCGGGAAAGGGGCAAGCGAGGCTAAAGGCAGTAGCAGATGTCTCGAGTAGTCTCCTGAATTCCCTCAACGAAGCCGGTAGGGAAAACAACGAGAATACAACACCAAGCGCTATACCGGAGGGGGAGATCTCACCTCTTCCACACGGGGATCTAACGATCTTGCGCAAAAGGGGAGCCTCAACATCCGCGGCAGGAGAAGCGCCACCAGCAGTCAAAAGGCTACTAGAAGAAGGATTAATGAGTGCCTTGAGCAACTTGCTCGAGAAACCCACTCAAGGAGACGTAGAAGACGCGCCACCTACAGAAATAGCAGCCGCCGCCGATGAGCCAAGCGATACACGAACAGGTAACACCCGCACTGTTAATACTGCAGGTGATGATGCACTCATGGCCATCTTAAAGAAAATGAAAGAGATGGAAAATGAGAACAAAACACTTCGCGATCAAATGAAGGAACATCAGGAGAGGGTTGACAAAATACCAGGTGCTTCGAGGCTATTACCAAAATGCGATGTGGGCCGATTCATCGAACAACCATACAGCGAAGGGGAAGCTCCCCATTCTATTCCAAAGACCTTCAAAATGCCGCCATACTTGAAAATATATGACGAGACCATGGACCCGGGGATCACCTAATCCATTATGTTACCGCAGTAAAAAGGCAATGATCTATCGAAGGAACATGTACCGTCTGTGCTGCTAAAGATGTTCGGTGAGACTTTGACAGGGGGAGCATTGACTTGGTACTCCCAACTACTAGCACGATCGATATCGACGTTCGAAGAGATGGCAGATAAATTCGACACCGCTCACGCAGGAGCGAAGAAGGCCGAGGCTAGGGTCAATGATATCTTCGGCGTCAGGCAAACGACGGGCGAGGGACTTCGGGATTTCCTGGCCCGATTCAACAGAGTAAGGATGAGTCTGCCGAAAGTGTCAAAAGGGATGGCAGTAGCAGCCTTCCAAAATGGGTTAAACAGGAACGGATCAAAGGCAACCAAAAACTGCTTAGTAGACTCATGAAGTACCCCTCTACCACATGGGAAGAGATCCACAACGCCTATTGCGCGAGGTGAGGGTAGACGAGGATGACCTGAACGGCCCGCTTCAGCGATTAACATCAGTCCAGACCGAGACTAGGAGAGATCGACGTAATAATGGGCGAAGGGATCAACCACCATGTTTCAATCGAGAAAGGCATCAGCCCTACATCCGAACATCCAACCCGCCCCCTCCGCGACATACAGATGTCATGCCCCGACACACTGCATCCCTCCGAAACGAAAGAGGTATGACTCCACTACTATCCGCTCATAACTTTTGTGTTTCCCCTTCAGAGATAGTGTACGCACTGGAAAAACTGGGCACGAAGGTGCAGTGGCCGCAGAAGATGAAGTCGGATCCAAGCACCAGGAGGTCGAACGTCCTATGTGAATTCCACCAAGAAAGAGGACACAAGACCAAAGATTGCATAGGTCCGCGGCAAGAAGTAGTTAGGATGTTAAACCAGGGGCACCTGAAAGAACTGCTAAGCGATAAAGGACGGGCCAACTTCGGTCGAGGGCGCGACCCACCTCAAGGGCCTCTAAAGCCACCATCACCGGCCCGCACCATACAAATGATCATTGGCGACGGCGACGACACGGTGATCAACCATGTGAAGTTCACCACCACGCACAAACTCAAACGGATAGTCGCCCACGAACGGTATGACGACCTCGAAGACAGTATCATCTTCGATAATTCTGACGCTTTGTCTTTCCCTCACTATGACGCTTTGGTTATAACTTTACGCATCGCTGATACCGATGTAAAAAGAATCATGGTGGATGATGGAAGCGGCGCGTGTATTGTTCACCCGCGAGTTCTCATGCAAATGAGGCTCGAGGATAAAGTAATACCGCGTTGCATAACACTAACGGGTTTTAATAATACAGTAGAGCGGACATCTGGAGAAATAATGCTGTATGTCCTGGCAGGAGGGGTTACCCTGGAAACGACATTCCACGTCATGAACCAGGAAACGGCCTACAACGCCATCATAGGACGACCATGGATACATGCCATGCGAGCCGTCCCTTCAAGCTTCTATTAGGTGATCAAATTTCCCACCCCATGGGGAATATTCAGCATCCGAGGCGAGCCACGTATCGCCTAGGAATGCTACTGGATCGCCCAAGATTGCACACACACCAAACAGAAAGGGGCAAGTACGGAAGCATACCAATCAGCCATGTCGGGCACCAAACCCGACATACAAGTAGAGGCCATCAAAGACCCGGACATTGTAGAAGCTTGCAAGGCAACCATAGAAGATCTCAATCCCGTCCAGTTAGATAACACCGACTGCACCAAAAAGGCTTATGTTGGACACAACCTCTCGGAGCCAGGTGAGTATCGTGAGTTTTTAACTAACAACGCCGATTTGTTTGCTTTTTCCTACTCAGATATGCCAGGAATCCCAAGGGAGATCGCCACACACAAGCTGAATGTTGATCAACTCTATCCGCCGGTACGACAAATGAGGAGAAAGTTCAATGTCGCAATCAATGAGGCGGTCAGCGAGGAGATTGATAAATTACTCGCCAACAGTTCCATCGAAGAATCGAAATACCCCCAATTGGTTGCCAATGTGGTCATGGTCAAAAAGAAGAACGAGAAATGGCGAATGTGTGTTGACTTCACCGATTTAAACAAAGCATGCCCAAAGGACTCTTTCCCGTTACCCCACATCGACCAACTTATTGATGCAACAGTGGGGCACGAACTGCTGAGCTTCTTGGATGCGTACTCCGGTTATAACC